ATGGAAGGCTGGAGCGGGGGCAGCGCCCGGGCTGCCGCGCCAGCCGGACTCCGGACTCCGGACTCCAAGGACCCGGGGCGTACCTCCGGGACCCCTTTCAGGCATCCCGTGGGGTCCTCTATGATCCACAGTGGCCAGGGAGACCACCAGGAGGGGCCTCCCTTTTTCAAGCCGCCGGCGGTGACAGTCAAGAAGTTGCAGAAGTGGATGTACAAAGGGCGCCTCCTGTCCCTGGGCATGAAGAGTCGAGCTCGTGGGTCACCCCCCAAAGGCACGGGAGCGCAGGCAACTTCCCCAAACCTGGGCGCTTTGAAAGTGGGTGAAAACCATGTCCTCTCAGTGCCTCCGGACCAAAGAATTACGCTGACAGGTAGGATACTTTGCATTCAAAACGCTAACGCTGCGAGCCCTAATGTTTACTCACTGGGCTTCTGTCTTCGAAGCCAAGAATAAGCTATGCTTTTGCAGACAGGAACGTGACCGTGCCAGAGTGTCGTGTAAGTGGCAGTTTAAAGCGATTTCCAGGTTATTTAGTATTCACTCAACTCCCCTCTCTCTCTATATATTTTTTGACAATAGCATGAAGATTTTTTGGGTTTTGTTTTCTGTAAGAACCAGTCAGTATGCCTACTCCTTAAGTACAATAGTGAGTAAAGGTTAAGTTCACCACCTCTAAAGGTATAGAGATGGGCGGTACTGCCTTGATTTTTATTCTCTGTAGCGTTAGGCAGATCCGTGTAGACTTTTGTGGAGTTTATGAATTTAAATTTGATCCAAGACAGATTTTACAGACTTCATAAACCTTCATTTTACTCATTACAGCTTTCCCCCCCTTTCTCTTTTGGGCGTGTGCACACACAGACATACACACATACAATCAAAAACCAAAACACACTCTCAGTATACCAAAAAAATCTACCGTAAGTAAAATTTCTCTTTTTATCAGGTCGGATTTAACACCTCCTCCTCACTCCCCCCCCCCAACAACTTTAACAAAGTGAGTGATCTTTATTTGTATGTGGAAAATCAAGGATGCTAATATTTAATCCAAAGAAAAATGTACCTTTTAAAAAGTGCAAACACTTGGGGACCAGCAGTTAGCATAATGGCTATGTCACTGGACTCCCACGTAGTGGACCGCGGTTCGAGTCCTGGACCCAGTGGCTTAAACTCACCTCGGGCGCGTGTGCGTCTGTGGCCAAGATCCCGAGAGGAGACTGGAGGAGAAGGGATTGTGGCGTGCCCAACCCCTGGGGGATGATCTCTTGCTTTCTATCTCTCTGTCTCTCTCTGTCTGTCTGGCGAGTGCATGCGACCTATAGCAAAAAAACCTCTCCAAAAAAAAAAAAAAGGTGCAAAC